TCAGGGCTGACATTTAACCGGGTCAGTTCTGATCTCAAGCAACCATTCCGTATGCTCACATGTCTTTCTTGGGAGCTAGCTTCAATCATTGGCTAAACTCTTAATATTTTAAATTTATAAACTTCTGAAGGGAGATAGCTTTTGAAGCTCACACACACACACACACACACACACACAAATAAATAAATAAATAATAAGTAAAACAGTCCTAGAACAGCAGTCTTTTTGTGTGCCGCCCAGAAAATTGGTTACAAAGTGGTCTTATTGTGTTTCTCATCATTTACATTCACTTTTTTGGCAGAGCAGAAAGGAAAAGAAGAAGTCAAACTCAGAGGCCTACAAGAGAAATGAAAGGAGGCATTTTCATGTTAAAATGTGCCCTTGACATTTAGACATCAACATTGACCGCCATCGACAGAAGATGAAACAGCCAGAGAAGCAGCAGCTGCGTTCGGTGAGGTCACCGAGCAGGTGCGACACGGGCTCCTACCACGGACACAGGGTGGCTCTCTCGCCGGTGCCCTCGGGAGGCCCCTGGGGTGCCGGCACTGACCTGCGTCTGGGCGCCTCAGATTGGCCCCGAAATACCCCAGCGCCAACAAGAGTCCCGATGACCCAGCTGTACCAATTCGCAGCAGACATTCTCCCAAACAGATCGATACCAGCCAAGGGGCAGCTGGAAAACAGGATGAGCCTGTATCTCTGAGCAAACACCGCGCTGCTTATTGACAAGGGCAAGAGCCACCCGGCACTTGTGTTTCCCACAATGTGTTTGTCACTGGCCTCGCCCTGACCCGCACAGCCACCCTGGGGGGGAACCCTGCCGCGGGTCCTGGGCCTGCTCTGATCCTGCCTGATCCAAGAGTGGAGGCTTTTTTTTACATGCTCGCCTTACACTGTCTTCATATTTCTTTTCTTCTTCTTTCTTTTTGCTTTTCTTTTCTTTTTTATATCTTTATTGATTTCAGAGAGGAAAGGAAAGGGAGGAAGGGAAAAAGGGAGGGAGGGAGGGAGGGAGGGAGGGAGGGAGGGAGGGAGGGAGGGAGGGAGGGAGGGAGGGAGAGAGAGGGACATCAATGATGAGAGAATCATTGATTCGGCATTTTTTTACAATGAGAGCAACTGTGTCTGCTCAGGCCTCGCCTAGATAATGCCACGATGCCAGAGCGACTAGTCAGTGCCGTCGATTCAGTCCAATGGCAGGCCTGAGTGTTCGGCATTGTGTAGACAAAATAGAAACCGTTTTTTTACTTTCTATCCATCATACTGGAATTGTGTGGGCACACCTTGGATGAAATTAATTCAGAAAAAAGCTTTAGGACACCAGTTGTTTCTATACATATAAACTGAAATAATTATGTGGATAAACCAAATACATTTGCTCAAACATCCAGATAAGTATTTTTTTTTTATTAAGCCCCAAAATTTGCCTCTTTTCTATTTTTTATTTAATCACATACTCTCCCCCCCCCAAAAAAAAGGCCTTGCACATGTCTGTGTGCTCTTTTTATATTAATCTGTATCTTTATACTTACATATGTGCACATGTAAATGAACAAGAGTTATATCTAATAAAAACATGCAAGTTGCATCACTATTATCATTGCTCTAAGGTTACAAAATATGAGGAAACTACAGTCTTTAAAACAATCTTCCCCAAAGTGCCGAGAATAAAACTGTGGAATACAATGTGGCCCTGCATTTGTCTAAGCACAGTGACTTCACATATGACGCAGCATGAGTAAAATTTTAACGCTTCGAATGGTAGTCGGGCCAAAAACCTGATTAGAATTAGATTTTCCCAGCTTCCGGAGTCCACAGCGCATTCAGGACCAATCCACTCAGTCAATCGGGGGCAGACAGAGCCCAGTCCCAGTGGCTCAGTCGCTGAGTGTGGACCTGCGACCCAGGAGGTCACAGTTGGGCTCTGTGGTTCGGGGCACATGCCCCAGTTGTGGGCTCCAGCCCCAGTGGGGAGCGTGCAGGAGGCAGGCAGCCCTTCTATGACTCTCTCTCTCATGGTGATATTTCTCCCTTCCTCTCTGAAATCAATCACACATATAGGGAAACAAACACAGGGGGCAGATCTAGGACCCTGTCATTACGCTTGGGCCCTGGAAGTTTTTAATAGCCATCGGCAGCGCTATACACCTTCCATCGGAGACCTTTTACGTATTCAGACATGTTCCCTTCTTTTCCGTCGGAGTGACAAACCTAGCTGAAGCAGAATCTGTGCCTCTGGCTGCTGTTAACAGACACATTTGTATGAGGGGGGAAAAGTCAAGTGAAGATAATGCTTAGCCTTCCCCTTTTCTTCAACTACGCTTTCCCTGGGGGTGGGGGACTTGCGGGGAGGAACAAACGTCCCCTCATCATATTTCCATCGCGTTTACTGTCGGGGCGCTCTGTCCAGGTCCCCGAGTGCAGGAGAAGGACACTCCACGGGGAGCTCGGCCCTGGAGTGGCGGCTCCGGGGAGGACGTGGACCGTTAGGTGGTCCGCCGTTAGAGGGCGCTCGGCAGCGCTGCTCCAGCCGCCGGAGGGAGAGCCAGGAGGCGGCGGGAGCGGGAGGGGGCCGAGCAGAGGGGGGGGAGGAGAGAAGGGGAGCCAGAAGGAGGCGGTCTGGAAGGTGAAGGGCGCGGAGCCCCAGGGCTGGAACCCGCGCCCTGCCCCGCGGTCCCTGCGGATGGTGCGGCGGGTCCGGCCGGAGGAGCGCGCGGTGCAGGTGCGGCGGCCTGACCGGCGCCCACCCCACTGGCCGCTAACGCCCGCGCGGCGGGCGGGTCTGTTAGGTCCGGCAGACGGGCCCATTGTAACGGCATCTTTTATTAAAAGATTAGCGCCATCCCCTGCAGCTGGCGGAAAGAAATCTGTTATCGCCCAGTT